TCACATAAAGCCATATTATAACATCTACTGAGATAAAAAATAAAATGAAATATTAAAATCATGATGTATCTCGCTGCATTGCGCGAGTACCTTTCTAGTTTTTTATAAATATATTTGATTTAATTATTAAAATATATCCCATAAGTTTTTTATTTATTGATTTTTTTTAATACAGTTTCCAGAAGTCCACCACCAATTACCAAACGCGTCGTCGGCCCTCAGGATTGAGGTTTAATAGTTTGACTTTTTTTTCTTTGTCAAAACACCAATTTCAATCTTCAATTCCATATTTATGATTCTTTTCTTCAATTGATTCTACATTCATCATACGTTTTCGATTTCGTTACGACTTGCGTAAATAAAACCCTAATTTTGTTGACTATACTTGTACATCATCAATCCAACAGTGAATTCCACAAAGAATTAGCGACAAGATTTTCAATTTTTACAATGCTTAACAAGAGATTCAAGATCGCTAAATGGTAAGATCATAGTTAGTTTATGAAAATTTCTCTGTGTTTCTAGTTATGGGTGTGGATGTTGACTTTGATTTGATTGTTTTTTTGATTGATTGATTGATTGATTGATTGATGCAGCAAGACGTCGTTGAAACTAGCGACGTCTCGGATTAAGTTAATGAAGAATAAGAAGGGAATACAGATTAATCAAATGAAGAAGGAGCTAGCTCAACTGTTGGAGTCAGGACAAGATCGGACTGCCAGAATTCGAGTACGAATTTTGATTTATCTGACTTGCAATTTATATTTTGATTTGCTAGATAAATGGGGATCTGTGCATTCAAAATTACTGTTTTTGATGATGCGTAGGATCTTATACTTGTAGAAACTAGAATCTTAATCATGTGGTTGCTGGTGGAGAATTTTCAAAATTTAGTTGCATCTTCTTTTGTAAGTTGTACCTATTTCAATTGGATCAGATCATGGATGTAGTTTGTTGTAATCCACAAGCTACCGTATGCGATATCAGCAGCACAGTTTATAAACTGTGGGTTTGAGTTGAAACTTTTTACATCTTTACTCATAGTTGAGGAGATTGTGGTGAAGGATAGGAAGTTAGACTGCTTGCAGGGCCATAGTTGGTCTGCTGTTCATCTGCATTAGAGGGGGTCTATGTGATGGTGGTCTGCTCTGCAGTTCTATTTCTGGGACTCTATTGGCATTTGAAAGCTATTGGGACATGAATATTTATAGATCTCAGATTCAAGGTCTACATTGTTTTAAAATTCATAGTTAGAGTATCTCAACTTCAATGATACGATTAAGAAATCCATCGTCATCTATGTGCACAAAAGTGCATAATCTTGATATTTGGCTAGTTCATTACTCTTTAGCCTCACCTCACATAAACACACAAGTGCAAATACACACACACACATTCATTGGTGATATTTACTTCATCATTGAACTAAATATATGCAATTCCGTGTAGAAACTTGCAGAGGTCCACTTGAGATGTGATTGTTGTTGTTGACTGAGGACACAAACTAAGGCGACAAGGGATCCTATCACCCAAGGGCAAGAGTTGATTGTGCAAACAAAATGATGTGCAATATTGTTGCAAATATTGCATTTAAGACACCCATTTACGTAATCTTCACAACAACAAAAAAATCATCTTATGTTTCCCATATCAACTTGGTATTGAACTTGGAAGTAATGACCTTTAAGTTTGTTCTATACAAGTTATCACTTTGCCCACTTATATTATTACTTCTTTCTATGCTCCAAGTTGTCGGATGATATGAATATCTTTTCCATGACCTTGTTTGGTACTATGATGGAGTTTCATTTTCCTTCTTCTTAATTTATTAATATTGCATCAGGTTGAACATGTAATCAGGGAAGAGAAGATGGTGGCGGCATATGATTTGGTTGAGATATATTGTGAACTTATCGTGGCACGCCTGCCTATTATTGAATCACAGAAGTAAGCTAGCTTAACTACTTGCAAATGATGCTATTTTTGCTTCATCAATCTAGTTATATATGTCTTCTCTGATATCCAGCTACACTTTATAAAGAAAAATGCCATCAAATTTCTAGTTTAATAAATCTGGTCAAAACACATATGCATTGATGCTAAGTTTCTTATAAAGTGTAATAATTGCTAGCATGAGTTTGTGTTGAATAAACTTTTGATAAAATTTGTGGTAGGACATGCCCCATTGACCTGAAGGAAGCAATCACAAGCGTAATATTTTCAGCTCCTAGATGTTCAGACATACCGGAGCTTCTAGATGTACGAAAACAATTTACAGCAAAATATGGAAAAGAGTTCGTTTCTGCAGCTATTGAGTTGCGTCCTGATTGTGGTGTAAGCCGCATGGTATGTTATTTGAAAGGTTCTAGCAATACAGCTGAATTTAATTTCCCCATAAAACAACATAATATTCATCGTATTATTGCAACGTTCCTATTTTCAGTTGGTTGAGAAGTTATCTGCAATTGCACCTGACGTGCAGACGAAAATGAAAGTGTTAACTGCTGTAGCAAAAGAACACAATATCAATTGGGATCCAACTTCATTTGAAGAGAAAGAATCGAAGCCTCCCGATGACTTGTTGGTGAGATAAATTTGTTTTCTAATTATCTTTTTTATTTCCAATCTATTGGATTGAAAGTAAGCTTGAGAAACCATAGAAACATGAATCTTTTATCTAGACTGATTATGGTAATTTGAGCAGAATGGACCCGCGAACTTTGAGAAGATAAGCACGATAAATGTCGATCCTCCTAAGATCCAAACTCCAAATGTCCAAAATGTGCCCATCCATGAAGAAAACCCGAATGCACCTTTTAACTTCTCTGAGCAGAATAGAAGATACACGCTAGATACTCAGAAGTCATCTGCTTCTACTACTCGTGAGGATATGAGATCTTCAGGTATAGCAATTCATCGTAAAGTAAATATCTATCAACTAAATTCTTTTTATGGTCATAATGTTATTGTGCATATTTTCTTGTACTTGCTTCTGTTTGTATATTTTCTTTGCTTGTGTGTTAAATATTTTTGGTTGCTTACCTCTAACTTGTATTAAAATTCACACCGCTTTTCTTGTTTTCAAGTTCTTTTTCGATTGTTCCTTTTCTCCACACTATGCACAAGTCAGGGGCCTTCACAGAAGCAATCGCTCTACTCTTCGGGGTGGAGGTCAAGTCTGCATGCATCTCACCCCCTCCCTGGACCCCACCTTCAGGTGGGATATACCGGGCTTCTTTTGTTTGGTTTGATTTCTAATGTTATTGTTCATAGGATTAACTGCTGTTATTTCATTTTCTGATCAGGAATGACATCTGAGACGATGAACATGAGGCAATCGTTCAATAGGAATCACTATGATTCTTCATCCGGTAGGGAGAATTGGAATATGGAATTTAAAGATGCTACTTCTGCAGCACAGGCAGCAGCCGAGTCTGCAGAACGTGCTAGTATGGCTGCTAGAGCCGCTGCACACCTCTCAAGCCAGGGGAAGATTACTCGACAGTATTCAACTGAATCATACGACTCACATATTAGACACGAAAGGACTCAAGTTTCTTCTACTTCAGAATTTCCCGATCAACATCACTTCAAAGACTCATATAATCGCTCTTTCAACGATAGAAACCCCAAGTTACAAACTCAAGAGATGAGCCCAAAAGCTACCGAAAGATTCAGCAGACCCACATCATTAAGATCGAGAAATGATTCAGTTAAGGGTAGTTTGGTAAATAACTTCCACCAGCCAGATGGGTACTTTGAAAATTCCTTAAATGAAGACCAGGGTCCTTCCTCTCCCGAAATGAGTAGAAAGAAAGAATCTAAAGCTGGGTTTATGAGTGGTGACAATGGAGGTTTCAAATCTGCAAATGTTGATCATTTCACAGAAAAAGTTATCAGAAAGCAACCGAGTATTACTTCATCTCGTTCTCATTCTAGCGCCGTCAGTGACGATCTTGACGTGTTGACTTCTGACCAGAAAAGAGTTGGCAAAAAAACCGTTGTTGACCAAGGAAACCTTTTTAGAGAAAGTAAAAAGACAAGCTCGTATGGTGATGGTCGTAAAGATGATGAAACCTACTCTGATGATGATGATGATGATGATGATGGTGGCCCTAGATTCGATACAGGATTTGAGTACAACGTAGGGGAGGTGAAGTCAAAGTTCTCATCATCGGAAAATACCCACTTTTGGAACCCGAGAAGGAACACAACCGACGTAATGGATTCAGCGAAATCCGTGGATCCTTCAGTGAATTTTGATCTTTCAGATGGTCCAGATTCTGAAAGTGAAATGGCAAAGAAGTTCACTTCTCCTCCTAAACAAGGTCATAAGAAACCTCCAATTGAGCTGTATGATTTGATCGAAAGTGGTTCATCCGTTTCTAAAGCTGAGGATGACGATAAAAGCCTGCAGTCTCGACATTCTTCAAGAATTTCCCGCAGACAAGACTCGAAGAAGAAGAATCAAGAATCACAATTGGTGGAAGATAACAGCTTTCTAAACCAATCTGATGATTTAGATACCGGAAACGGGTTAAAGTTTGGAACTTTAACAGGTGGCCTTCGAAACAAAGGCGGTCTTAAGTTACCACCCTACACGAAAACCGCAACCACTCCATCATCACCTTCATCCAACAAGTTGGTCAAAGAAATCCCGATGAAAACGGACCAGAATTCTTTCAATTCAAGAACAAGCAGATCAGAAAACAAAAAACCGAAGGTTTACATCTCAAGTTATGAATCGGATTCAGATGATTACAGTGACAAATTCCCAGTTCAATCTTCTAAAACCCGATCACAATTCACACCCCCTGATGCATTCTTCAATGATGATTCCGAAGAAGCTGCTCCACCAGTTCCAAAACTGACATCCAGCAGTAAAATTCATTTGGGTTCGGCCCTATCTCGGAGGACAAAGGGCTACGTTGAGCCTGTGGCCAGAACAGTAATTTCCAGCTCCACTGAATCTTACGCTGAGAACTCAAAGAAAGATCCTGATCGAACTCCAAAATTATCAGAAAAAAGTAGCAATGAATCAGAACGAAAATCCAGCAGGCTTTCTTACAGAAACAAACAAGAAACTTTCAAAAAGATTCCAGAGCCGAAGATTTCTGAACCACCACCGAATCCTCCCAGAAAGATCGCGGAATCGGGTAAAACCGAAGCGTCCAAATCATCGAATCCAGGTTGTGAAACTTCAGTCGAGGCCACCAATAATGTTAAGAAACCAAGCCATGTTCATCCGAAGCTTCCTGAATACGACTCTCTAGCGGCTCGTATCCAGGCTCTGCGAATGGATCATCAATGAATAAGTAAGTATCTACAGTTTCATTCATATATGCACATAATTGGATAAATTTTATTCACATATGAATGAACCCCTTGTTGGTACAAGTATTCTATGATATATAGATACAGTCTCTCATTACATATTTGATTAGTTTGTTTATTTTTGGAATAGGAGATGAGCATTTTTGCATATACAACTTCATTAAGAAAGATTGTGGTAAACTTCATTTGATGTCCATAGTTTGATCATGTGAACGGAAACAGTCTTTCTATCCCTTGGAACAGAAGAAAAGTTTGTGTACATCTTTTCCTCTCTAAACTCTACACATCTTTTGTTTTGGTAACTGCGGGTATCCGAGTCAGCTTACTTGCATCGACCACGGATGACCTGGAGTCACATGAGCCTCCATGGCGCATAAGGGCTTTAGCAGTGTCTGGATTCGGACCCACGTGGTTCTCTATACCCTATGTGGGATTTACTAAGTTTGTTATGTTTCGTTTAGTTTATGCTCATGAAATGAAATGGTCTCTCATTGGAACAGATGAAAGATCTATGTACATCTTATTGTGGTATATACTGGGTTTGTTTGGTTTGGTTTAGTTTAAACAGATGAAGTTAAAAAGACGTGGATCCTGATATTTATTCGTTTCATTGAGGTTTTTTTTGTTGTTTGTTTATAATCCTGAGCTGAGGACCTAAACCAAACATTTTTGCATACCAAAAGGATTTTTTTTGCAATAAAATTTTTGTAGGGACCTAATCGAAGAAAAGCAACAAACTGTAGGGACCAAAATTGCAATTTACTCTTTTAATTTTAAGAACCGATGTATTATGTGTTATTTTACATGTTCTTTTTCCATTTACGACTTGGATTTAGTGTGATGATTAATACATGTTTATTCTATAAAGTGAATGTTTTTGTAGGTGTTGAGACAAAAATACAACTTTTAGTTTCACATTATAAACTGAATACATATCAAATAAATATATTTTAATCAATTTATAAAATTCTAGTTTTGGATGGAAAAAATTCGTGTAAAAATACCTTAAGATAGTTTATACTATTATTACAATACTAGAATGGTGATCACATAATATAACGAAATCCATCTCAATTTTAATGTTTCGTGTTATTTTATTTATCTCTGTCGATATAATACAGTTTTTAGTGGTTTTGAGAAAACGATAATGTTTTTGTTTTTAAGGAAAATATAAATTTAAAAATATCATAAAAATTTGAAAAAAATATATATTGATATTAGTATCAAATTTACTATTTTAAGTTTTTGTTTTTTTTTTGTGTGTAAATTCTTTAATTCAGTATTTTATTTATACCTTAATTTAGATTTAATAACAAATTTATCATTTAATAATATAATTTTTATATAGATAATAATTAAGTATTTTGTTATAACTAATGATTATCTTAATTATATTTTGGATGTTTTATATTCAAAATGAGATATCTATCTCGTATTTGATTATGTTTATATATAATTAGTTATACAGATTCAAAAAGAAGTTTTAATGAGTTGTATTTACGCACAATTTACTTGTGATCTTGAATTTTAAGTAATATGCATCAATAAATAGTACTTTATATACTTGTGATCTTGAATTTTAACTTAATATCCAAACGTCTAAACGAATCAGACTTCAGAGGTATTATGAGATAATTTTAAAAAAACAAATAGAACCTTAATAATTCTGGACATTTTTATAGATTATTAATTCAGTTTAGTTTCATCTATAATACATACTAAAAAGCATTATTTTAATGTTTATAAAAATCATATGAAAAACTAAAATTAATTTTTTTTTCCTAAAAAGATTTTTTTTTTCATTTACAAAGTTATAATGCGAAGTAGGAGTTGTTTCCTTCATTTATCGGGTAAGACTTCCGGTCATTATTATGTCTTTTATTAGGTAAAATTCATGATCTTTGTCATGCTCAATCAATAAGATATGTAATATCAGTAAGCGTTTAGTAAACAACTGCTACGTATATTTTATTTTGATACAATTTGTTTTTAAAATAAACAAAAAGAATAACCACCATACAAAAATGTCTAAAATGTTTAAGAGTTTTTAACTGATTTTTACATACTTACAGATAAAAATGATTATAACTTTTTGTTCAGTAATTCACTAATTTGTAATAAATATATTTTATAAAAAATGCCAAAAACAATAATGACAACTTGTAGGCAGTTTATTTTCAACATATACTTGTAAAATCTCAAATTTCAGCACCTCTTAAAAATAAACAAGATATTAGTCGAAAAATATATAACAAATTATGAATTTTAAGTGATAGTGTACAAATATTTAAATTTAAGGGGATAATAGTTAAAGTTAGTTAAAGATGAGGGGGTGTAAAAGTAAAATTATTCAGTATAAATATTTCCATCCATTCATTTTCCGGCACACGTATCTCGTGGCTCCATGGACAAGCTTCCTCAAGCTTTAATACTCGAAATCCTGAGTCGACTCAATGACTCGGCCGACGTAGCTCGCTGCCGACTCGCTTGGAAAACTTTCGATGCTCTTTCTTCAGACCTTCGATCAATCAATCTTCAATGCTCACTGGAAAGGTACATCAGATCAAGGTCTAGGGCTTCGGATTCTTCAAGTTCTGCCCAAATTACAATTCCTTTCAAGAGAATTTTCCTTAATCTTGTATCGAATCTGAGAGTTGTTGATTCGGTGCGAATCGGCACCGAGAAGCCGCTGCGAGATGTCTCGTACGACGACGTTGAGGATGAGGCTGATGATCTGTACCTCACTGATGGGAATTTTGTTAAGGAGTGGCTGCCTAGGGTTTCTGGAGAATTGAAATCGCTTTCGGTATCTGATTTTTGGGTTCAGTCTTGCTGGCGTCGATCGAATCTTTTGCCGCTGGTTTCTGCGTATTGTAAGTTCGTTATATATTTGGGAATTATGCAAGTTTATATTCTCCAGCGATACTCTTAGTGATATGAACTGATAAAATCCCTGTCAACGATTTAATGTTAATTATGTAGATCATGTAGCTTTCCAGGTTCTAAATATCATCTGGTGGTACTTAATCAAGCATATATGATTACTAGTTAATTGTGAATTTTTGGTCTATCTACGTATAATACTGGATTTGGGGATGGTCTGCTACTCATGGGATTAATCAGCATTAATTTTGAAACATTTGATAAAATGGAAGTTAAATGACACTAATTTATCTATTCTAAGCATTTGAGCTTGCACCAAATATTAGATATACACAGAGTAGTATATATACACAGAAAGCATGAAATTTCACTCCTTAATCTCTGTCTATGGGGTGTGTTTGGTATGAAGATTAGGTGGGACGGGACGGGACAAAAATAAATAGTCCCATATTTGGTGTGCCCGGGACAAAAATGAGATGAGACAACATGAGACAAAAGTAAGATTGAGTGAGACTATTCTTGAGTTTTTTTGTTCAATCAAAACAGGTAGAACAACATGGGACTAAATTTGAGATTACAATATTGCCTTTATTATTTGATATCAAAATAAAGACCTAATTTAATTGCATCCTCCTTCTTCTCTTCCACAGCCTCCATTCTCGATTCCAGCCTCCATTCTTGAAATGTTGAACTTTTGATGATAGCGTGACAAATGTTATTTACAATTGTAATGTTTAAACTTTTTAAATTATGTGCATATTTAAAATTTATGGTATGACAAATGTTATTTACATATGGTCTTGAAATGTTAAAAAAAAGTATTGATATCATAGATTAAATAATTTAAATATATTTTTGGTTGATTTGTTGTCATTTACAATCATTATATGATATAAAATAACATTGAACAACATTTAGGGGTAATATGGTCATTTTAAAAGTCTTGTCCTGTCCTAGTCATACCAAATATAGGACAGACAATTAGTCTTATCTTGTCCCATCCTGTTCTATCACATCCAGTCTGCGTACCAAACACTACCTATATACACACTAGCTGTAGCTTGTGCTGTTACAGCGGTCAAAGTACCGCTGTCAAAATACCAAATTTATCGTGGTGGTAACGGTGGTATGGTGGTTCATATAAATATTTAGAATTATAATATATATATATATATATATATATCATAAAATATAAATCACTTAGCATATTATGTGTTATCAATATAATGATGGTGGAAGGATTTAGGAAAGGTGGTTGAATGCTCGTTGATGTTGCAAACCTAAATCTTATAATGGTTGACGGGTAAAGATAAATAGATGGATTAAATGATTTAGATCATTAAAAAAACAAGTCCAAAGTCCAAAATAAAAGCCCAAATCATTTAAATAGGTCTAATATAAGTTGGTTAGAGTTGGACAAAAAAAGAGAGCCCAACCACATATTGCGGTTATGCGGACCATTATTTTGTGTAAGAAGCGGCCATTTAGCAGTAAATTGCACCCCAGGTTCTCGGCACCGCTATTTAGGACCGCTATTTAACCACACAATCTTCTTCCAGGACCGCGGACTGCTATTGCACCGCTATTAACAACATAGCCTGCAGCTCATATGAGTATTCTAGCTTGTAACGCTGCGGCTATAAACATGCATCTGAAAAGCTTAGCCAAAAGGATACGCTTCTAGGACTTTTATTGCCTAAGCGCTTACCGACAAAACTCACCGCCCTCATGTACCTTATTGGATAATATTCTTGGCCATCGAAATGGATTGTTGGTAGAAGTCTTTTACTCTGTTACCGCTTACCCGGTAAGAGTCTTTTCCCTCACTTACCGGGAAAGATTTATTTGTCCTTGCTATGCCTGAAACTGGGTAAGATTATCGGTTCTTGCCATGCTCACCTGGTAAGCGTTTGGCAAATGGCCCCTTAGTTTCTTCTCTCTCTCTCTCTCTATTCCCATGTCGTTCCCTGTGTCGCTCATACACCGATTCTTTACAACTCATTCTTTTATCTTCTTCCGTATTCTTCTAGTAACGTTATCAGTTCATAACGAGAAACAATATAATTGTGATACGGATTAATGATAAGGGCTTATTAGTGATGACGATTCATTGATTTATGCTATAAATAATAAGATAAGAAAAATGCATGATGCACGCTAGGACCAGACATGAAAACGATGCAATTTATGCTGTAAATGAGAACATACCGTGCGAAACACTTGCTAATTTTAGATTTCAAGTTTTGCTTTAACTTGGTTGTCTTAGTTGGGCTAACAGCATTTTGTTGTCATCAATGCAGGCCATAATCTTCTTAAATTAGAGGTGAAGAATGCATGGCTTTCAGTAGATAATTTGAATCCAATGCCAAACCTAACAAGTTTGACACTTGAATTTATACGATTAGACGATGATAACCTAAACGAGTTGAATAGGTGCTTTCCGTCTCTTCAAGTTCTTAACTTGATCGGTGTTGGAGGACTGAAACTACCTACCATCCACCTTCCGAACCTCAAAACCTGTCACTGGGCTGTATCTAATGCCCCATCGTCGTTATCTCTAATTGCCCCCAACCTCATTACCCTAAGACTCGAATGCGTAAGACCCACCGCACTTTATGTCGAAGCTCCGATGTTGGCTCACTTCCATCTCGCCCTTGATCATGCCGACACATTCGTGGTTAGAAGGTTCGAGAATCTGAAAACCCTTTGGCTCGAGTGTTTATATATCGGGTCTTTATGTTTTAAATTCCCGCTTACAATATCAGTAGAACATCTTACCGTGGACTCGCGTAAGTGGGCAAAAGGAGCCGCTGGATATTCCAATTTTACCCTAGATAAGTTGTTCACGGTTTTCCCAACTGTTAGTTCCCTATGTATCAACCCGAGTGCGTGGTCGGAATTAGAGGCGTGTTACGATCCCGACGGTTGGGAGATTAGGCGCGGGAGGAGGGGATTGAAAACGTTTCGTGCATATTTGTTGCTGGTTGACCCTTTGTTGACTTTCTCATCCGTTGCTTCCGTGGTGAACCAATGCAAGGTCTTGTCGGAGGTCTCGTTGATGATCCACCGTGATGTTGTTGCTAACGTGTCGAAAGGTTTCATTTCTAGGTGCATGAATTGTTGGCCTGGACTCGAGTGGAAATGGGGATTGTGGAAAGAAGGAACGGAAGATTCTTGGATAACCGATCATATATCCGATTCAACGCCACAAATCATGATATGATCCATCGAAGGCGAAAATACTGGTAAATCGAAGATTTCAAATGGGTCGATTACAAGAACACAAGTAAGTTTCTCTCTTATGTTGTTGTGTTTATGTAAATATGATGGTATGTAATTAGATTTTGATCGGGGTCGATAATATTAGTTTTAGTAGAAAATAGTATTAAATCCGTTTTCGTTTTTCGCTTTGTCCGTTATTTCTAAGTAATCGAGATGCATGCAGAAGGAAACAATCGAGTTGTTCGTAAGATGATGACAACAACATTTTACGAGCAACTCGAGTGTTGTGTTTGTTAGTTTTCTCCGATCGTGTTGCGTTCTTTTTATATTTTCATCTTTGTTGTTTAGAATCAACGTTGCTCTTTAACATGTTAAATGTGTGATTTTGAACATTTTCAGGGGGTCCAATTTCACACTGTTTAAGGCATTTTATTAATGAATGTAAAACTATAGCACACTTTGGCGAAAATAATACGTCTCGTTATCATCTCTGTATTTTTGTGTGTATATAAATATATGTATATTTGTTATCTTACTTTGCTGCGTAATCAAAAGCGAGCTTTTGGAACGTCTTGAATAAACAAGATGTCAAGTACAATAGTTGGAAAAATATTACTCCATTTGTGAACGAGGGGTTATTTGTTTACCTTTTAATAGTTCCATTAAGAGGCAACCTTTGAACCTTTACGACGTGAATCTTATTTGGCAAAAAAAGTGTCTCTTAATGGTTCTAAAATGCTCTGAATGATTCTGCATCCTGAGCATCTCTTAACCGTTCAGCGTCCTAATTTCATTGTGAACACTTACCAAACAATTATATTTCGTTGTGCACTATATCATGAGAGTTTCTTAATTATTCTGACCATTTAATCATTCAGCAACTATCAAATAGCCCCTGAATTAAATAAACCTAGTGTCCGATCGGTAGGTTGGGTGAGGATAGCGTGAGATGTATGTAAACCTGATCTTCCCGTTTTAAGCATTCGTATAGTTGTTTTCATTAAAACTGTTAAAATAGACAATATCAGAACAATTGTTTTTGTAAAAACCTCCAACTTATTATTATGTGTTCCAAAAAAATACAAAGAGTCGCTAGTTACCATTATCCTTTTGAGTTGCTTATATGAACTGTTTTTTGGGTGGGATTTTTATTTTAATTTAAATTTAAATTTTCTGTGCATTAGGTTCTTATTAAAACAAATAGTTGAACCTATTTATTACTTATCCCATAGATATTTTGTCAATCTCAAGAGTCAATTTGTTGCTATAATTTTATTTATTTTCAAACTAAATAAATAAAATTATATATTAAATTTAATATATAAATGAATGAAGGAGACTCTTGTTCATGTTCATTCGTTTAATTAAACAAACAAAAAAATTTGTTCATGTTCGTTCATTTATTAAATAAACGAACTTCCCACGAATGGTTCATGAATGATTTGCTGAACGTTCGGTTAGTTTACAACCCTAGTTTAATAACTTATAATGAAAAAATTGACCAAAATTATTAATCTCTGCAATAAATTTTCCTTTTCAGTCACTTTTTTAATCGAATTCACGTTTTAACCACAATTTTGGCATATGTTTTACGTATTTATGCAAACTCAATTTTTAGATTAAAGAAAGAAAAAAAAAATTATTTACTCAAGTTTGCATAAAGAATTTGAGTGCGAATCTCCATCTGTATAAAAAATTAATCTGAAAATAAGCTTTATGTAAATGTATAAGATGTTTATGCAAACTTTGACTAAAAAAGAAATTTGGTTCTGACTACAAGGGTGGTGTCTGATTGGTTTGAACTTGATTCTAAAGATCAAACGTACCTGAAGGTCCCAGGTTCAAATCCAAGGAGGAACAAGAATTCCCTTGTGGCCACGGAGGTTCAAATGCGGTGACTCCGGGCTATCTGCAAAGCAGGTGGTTGCCTTGGGATTAATCGACTCGTATAGTGAGTTGAATTTCCAGGTTAATAAAAAAAAAAAAAAATTTGGTTCCAAAAATAGTTTAAAAAGTGAATTTGGTTGTTAGAAATTGTGGATTTCATTTCTATGGTTTTTGAAATAGCAGTTTTCATCCACATGGTTTGCAATTCATTTATATTTTAGTCCCTCATACTTAAAAATAATAGTTAAGCTTAGGGACTATGAGAAATGAATTGTAAACCACAAAAACAAAAATAATAATAAATTATAAAACATGGAAGAAAAATCGTATTCAAAACCACAAGAACGAAAATATCATTTTCAACAAGCCACATGAATGAAAAACGTAATTTACTCTAATTTTTATAATTGTAATAAATATGTGTGTATATTATTTAATTTTTTTAAATTCTATACAATTAAGAAAATTATATTATTGACATAGTGGTAGAGATGGCCAAATGAGCCCGTCTGGAGACCGATTTGGGACCGTCGGTTAAGGGCCGGTTATGGTTTTCATCCAAAAACAAGGCCTGGCCCGTCCCGTGATTGGTCCGATTTTTTTCAAAAAAAATGTACTTTTATATGTATTTTTAACTTTCTTAATGTATTTGATTGAAAATCAAATCACAAATTTAAAATAAAACATATTTGTAACTTATAAGTGTGTTTGATTAAAAACCAATTATAAAACGTAATTTTTAAGTGTATTTGATTAAAAACAATTTTAAAACTACAATAAAACGTATTTTTAAAGTGTATTTGATTGATCCAATTAGATATTTTAAAGTGTATTAATAGCATTAACGTATTTTTAAAATTTTATCAAAAAGAAATTAAAAAAATATATATATATAAAAAGAAAATGTTTTTTTTAACATAGAACCGGTTTGGGTCCATCCCGAAACAAAAACTAGTTATTATAACCGATTACAAATATTCTTAAGGTAGTGTTTGGTACGTAGACTGAACTGGACAGGACAGGACGGGACATGACTAATTGTCTGTCCCATGTTTGGTACGACTAGGACAGGACATGACAAAACTGTTAAAATGACCATATTACCCTTAAAGGAGGGTTAGTAATTAGGTTTTCTATTGGAATCTATTGAAAACAAGGGTAAGATAGTAAATTTGTATTTAGTCCCATGTTGTTCCACCTTTTTTGATGAAACAAAATCATCAAATTTTGTCCCATCAAGATCCTGAATTTTTTTTTTTTTTTTTACCACCGACATATCCACATGTTGGATAAAATGAGAATGGTGAAATCCCCATCACATCTCTATGTTTTAAGTACTATTAAATTAAGAGAAAAAATTTGGACCCGTCTCTACTTTCAAACGAAGACAAATCTTTCCACAAACTCTAAATATTTTAAAATTTTAAATTCAATTTGTATTCGATATTTGTGCAATGCAATGAGATGTATTTTTATTTAATATTTTATTTTATTTTTTTTGTCTCTGTTGATATAACAAGGTTTGTATGATTTTGAAAAAAGATAGTGTTTTTACTTTTAAATAAAAATAAATTTAAAAAATATATCGATATTAATATCAGATTAACTATTTAGAATTTTTTTTTTGGAATAATTTTTTTAATTCAACTTTTTATTGTAATTTAATTTAGGTCTAATAGTGAAGTGATTTATTTTTGGCTTAACAATATAATTTTTATAAAGATAATGATTCCGTTAGAATTCAATGATTATCCTAATTATATTTTAGATTTTTAATATTTAAAATGAGATGTTTATCATATATTTGATTATATTTATCTGTAGTTAGTTATATGAGTTAAACAAGTTGTACTTACGCACAATTTACTTGTAATCTTAAATTTTAAGTAATATGTATAAATAATGGTTTTTAAGAGTTTTTGTCAAATGTTTTATAATACTATAGGGATACTCGCCCAATGTAGCGAGACACATCTCGTTTTCAATGTTTCATTTTATTTTTTTGGTCTCTTTCGATTTTATAATACAAATTTTATGTGGTTTTGAACAAACAATAATGTTTTTCTTAATAAAATATAAATTTGAAAATATCAAAAAAATTAAAAAATTAAAAAATATATAAAAGTTCTCATTTTTTTTTTGTATAATTTCTTTAATTCATTTTTTTTATAATATAATTTATGTATGATGACGAAGTAATTTTTGGTTTAATAATATAATATTTATGAAGATAATAACTAAGTATTCTGTTAAAACTCAATAATTATCCTAATTAAAATTTTAGATTTTATATTTAAAAGAATAATTTTATCCTATATTTGATTAGATTTATCTGCAGTTAGTTATACAAATCCAAACATAAAGCTTAATAAGTTGTATTTATGCACAATTTACTTGTAATCTTGAATTTTAAGTAATATGCATTAATAAGCAGTACTGCTTAATATATAGAAGATGGTTTTTAAGAGTTTTTGTCAAATATTTTATAATAATTAATATAAATATGGTAAAAAGTAAATTGATTGAAATGAAAAAAAACATAATTTACCTTATTAGGGAAGTGTAAGTTTGAAGGAGTAAAATTGGTCCCCAAATGACAAATGTGAGGTAGTGTCCCTTTTGACCATTCCAATACGTTTGACCATTTCATATGACACATTAATATCATTATTATACATATTATTTTATAGACTAATTAAATTAAGGATTTCAGATATCATAATTATCTAAAAAGACAGGTTGATGTTTATTTTATTAGATAGACGGACTGAATCAAGATTGATTGATTAAGCTGCGTGTGTCGGGATATGTAAGAGAATCAGTATTTTTAGATAGAGTTTGATAATTAAAAAGATTACTCGGTTTGATTATTAATAAGAGGTTGTTTGGCAATTGCTCAATGGTTTGATGCATAATGATTAAGTGGTCAGAATGATTAAGAGGCTCTCATGATATAGTGTAAAATGAAATATAATTGTTTGGTAATTGTGTACAATGAGATTAGGGCTATCAATGGTTAAGTGAGATTCATGATACAAAATCATTCAGAGGATTTTAAACCCCTTAAAAGACATATTTTTTTACCAAACAAGATTCACTTCTTAATAATTCAAAGATTTTAAAAACTCTCAAACATAAGAGATTTTAAAAATTCAATAATTGTATTAGAAATATAAAAATTGTTACTATTCATTGTAATCTATCCCCTTTTTATTAAAAGATTTTTTCACTTTGACCTTTCCAAAATGTAAAAGAAGAATTTCAAAAATCTTGAAATACATAAATAATATAATTACTGTTGTTATTATCGTAAAAAATTAGACAAATTGCATGAAAAATAACGTACTTTCACTTGATTCCTATTTCGGATAACGTATTTTCAAAACTTCAATTTTGGTATTTAAGATGTAAAATTTTAAACAATTAGGTACCAAAATGAAAATTTTGATAGTACATTACTCAAAATAGGAATCAAGTTAAAGTACATTATTTTTTTCATGTAATTTGTCATTTTATTATGATTTTAGTCTCTAGCACTAATTCCGTGAAACTTTTCCTGTTAACTGGAGTTATGTGTTTCTCACATGCATGAGGATCATTTTAGTCGTTTTATATTCAAATTTCATCAGAGAATAAAATGACAAATCTAATCCCTCATTTATGTGATGTTTGTTTTTTAAGAGGTGCTGAAGTCTAAAATTTGATCTTAATTCTGATTTATAAGAGGTGTACCTAAAGTCTGAAATTTGGATTCCCACCATCCTTAATTAGGATTGCCACCCTGATCACTTGAATTGACTACCGCCATAAATCCAAAATAATATACAAGACCCACATATTTAAAAGAATCATAGGTTAAGAAGGTGGTACCGTTTGACTATAAGAATCAAATATACGGAATTTGTTTCAAATGGTGGCATCATTTGACTAAGAAAATGATACTAATAAAAATTCGAACTGGAGTTTGGGTGGAATAAAAGCCTTGCAAACCAACTCTACCAAATAAAATTTGTTCTCATTGTAGTTTCAAAATACATACGGTGGCACACAACAAACTAATACGGTTGCACCTTTCACGAACCTAATTTTTTTTTACTCTTCGATGGAGGAATAGTATGGTGGCACGTGCCACCATATGCACCACTTAAGATCTGTCCGTATAGTGGTCTCCATCGGCGATGGGGATCCCTGGTGGTCAAGAGGATGGTTCCAAAGAGACCACCCGCTTTGCGAGTAGTCTACAGTCACCGCATTTGAACCTCTATGGCCACAAGGGATTTTCATTTTTCATTGGATTCGAACCTGGGATCTCTAGACGCTATTGACCTTTGGAGCCCAAACTCAAACCAATTGGGCACCACCCTTGTAAAGTTGTGGTTGACAAAGGATTTGTTGCTGGTTTCCCATCGAGAAAGCTAAAAATTCTAAACCAGGACATGAGTTGAGATTCTTCCGTTTTCTTGGCGGGAATTTCGCTTGCACCCGATCCCCAATTCTTGTTCACCCTGGATGATCGTGTTACATCTTTTCATTTAATATTTGATAAAAAAATATCGATAATACATTTGTAATCATAGAAGCATATCATTTACATCATTATATATTAATTTTATTCCGATTATTTAATAAAATCATAAATAATAGTGATCTGTTATCTATCATTTTATCTTTATATAATTCTTTTATCTTAAATTAACTATTTATATATGTTATTTTAACTAAAATTAGAAGAAAATTGTGTAATTGTTAAAAAATAATTTTAATAAAAAAAACACACACACACACACACACACATATATATATATATATATATATAATTTTAGTCATATTTTAACTATAAAAATTTTGTAGTTTTGTTGTTTAAATTGTTTCAAGTCTGTTTTTTTATTATAAGATTTAATAATATATATATTGAAGAGTTCAAACGAGAACACCTTTATTTTACGAGAACGAAAGAACACATTTTTACTATAGACAATTACATGTGATATTATTATTTCATCACATATGATACTAAATCAGAGACGCGGACGATTCTCGATGCGATCTTGGTTGCGGGCCAAGTCGCCCTTACACCACTAAGCCCTCTCACAAGTATTATCACATGTGATAAGAGTGTTGTTGATATGATACTATAATTCATCAAGACCATCACATGTGATGCTAAATCATAGACGCGGACAATCTTTGATGCGGCCTAAGTCGTATAGCACGTCGTTCGCACATCACAGGGTCCCCTCAGGCGTATTATCACATGTGATAAGAATGTCCTCGTGTTCTCATAAAATGAAAGTGTTCTCGTTTGAACCTCCACCTATATATATAAATACAATTTACACATCAGACTATAATAGACTTCGTCCAAAAGTCTTTTTTTTTTTTTTAATTTAGATAAAAAAAGTTCCATATTTTTTTATTAAAAATAGAAAATAGAAAATAGAAAAGGTTGTGTAGTGTATGAACACATATGTTGTTGACTAAACCCAAGGGTAAATCCTTTTGACATTTCATGCAACCTGCATTGACCCGGTTCTCTCTTTCCCATCAAATTTAAACAAATATATAACCAAATTACAATTTTGTCCTCGTGGTATTGTTCGAAATTACGTATTGGACCCTCAAATGCGTTTATGATCACTGTGGTTTATATTTTATTACAGATTAATTAGATCTTCCTGATTAATATTATCCATGTTTGACCATTAAGTAGATGCATCATGCATCTGTCCTTCATCAATGAAGGCAAGTTAGTCTTTTTACCCTTCATCTTTGCGCGCCCTTTTTTCTTCATTGGGATTCGTCTTCAATCCTAAAGACTTAAAGAACATATATAAACATAAATTCATGTTTTTCGATCCATAATTTAGAATATAACGAATGTAATACAAATTAACCAACACAAGGCTTGTGGTATAAAACCCTGAAATCAAACAAAAACCTGAATCTATACGAATCAAAATGAAAAGAAAACCCTAAATCTTGATTTGATCCTCAATTCTTGTCTCTTTGTTCATCCGTTGTTGGTCTCTTCTGAATCAGCTTTGATCCCATTTTTATCATTGCTCTGAATCCCAATTCTCGTCATGGATGATTCAGTAAGCAATCATTAATGCAGTGCACCAATTCGTCCCTTTGTTAAAACAATTCTTCTTCCTAAATCTCGTTCATGCAAGCTTTCCTCACATACATCATCACCCCTTTTCTTACCCATTTGTCAACATACCCCATTCACTACCCTCTCGTTCCCATTCTAATGCTAGCAATAGAATGGAACCCCTCGGTGTTCACTCAAACCTCCTTCCAATCCAGTGTCAATACTCCAATATCACACTATCACAAAAACGAATATGGAGATGATGTAAGATGTACGACAGGGTCTTTTTGTGCCGAAGAGGAACAACATGAAGAAGATACCTCTTTTCGGATTTTTGGGTTTTGGATCTTTCTCCATGGGCATTTTATTGAAAACCTAATTTCTTCGAGATGACAAGGGATTGAGACATGTTTAGGTTATATATTTTTCTCCATGGCCACCTCTTACAAACAACCCTAATATATTTCTTCTTCAAGAGGACAAGGATCCCGTTTGTGTTATGGATTTTTCACCATGGCTGCTCTTATTGAAAACCCTAATTTCTTTGAGAGAACAGTGGATTGAGATTTGTATAGGTCTTGGATTTTTCTTCACAAACACTCTTTTTAGATAGGGATATTTTAGGTTTCTTAAGTGTTTTCTAGATTCAGGAAGAATGAGGTCGGGATGGAAAAGAAGGGAAAAAAGGATATTTTTGCTTTCATGTGCGGTGCAAGTGATGTCACTTGACACAAGGCTCTAGAAGGCCATTGGGTGGATGGACTCAATCCTTAATGAAATTCAAACCATATATACCGATCACAAGTGTAACTAATATGTTTTAGGGACTCGATCCAAAATTTTGTAAACCATAAGAAGCAAATATGTAAGAAATTCACAATATAAACTAGATATTGTTTTCAAAACACACGCACACATGTGTGTGTGTGTGCACACGCATGTGTGTGTGTGTGTGTTTGAACGAAAACGGGTGAGTTCGGATAAACACTTCTATACACTAATTAGAAGAAGACTTCTCTTTACAAACTCGTATTCACACATATAAAGATCAAAACCTATTTTTTTATAATTATAATTTGTATTATAATTTTATCAAAAAATTATTTATTTAAGACAACCAAATGTTGGTTCAACAAAGAAACAAAACATAATGATTTGCAAAGTCAACCGGTGATCCACTTTTGTGTACAATACGACAAAGTCTTCTTCTCTTTTTCACTTCGTCTTTAGAAAGCTTAGACCAAGTTCACTTATATCGATGTGACGTGTATATATATATATATATCTCTACATATAAAGAATGTTCCATCAAGGTGCATACATATACATATATATACATGTGTGTATATATATATACATATACACATTATATATATATAAAGATTATTCCATCAAGGTGCATACATATACTTATATATGCGTATATATGTATGTAAAAGAAGTGATTGTCTAGCTATAAATTCATGCATATTTGAAGAATATATATATAGAGACACATTATATATATATAGTTGTATGTAATTAGTAGTTAAGGTTGATAAGGTTAAGGTAGGGTTTTGTGTGTGAAATTGAAGGTGTGATGGGTAGATCTCCTTGTTGTGATAAATCAAAAGTGAAGAGAGGCCCATGGTCACCTGAAGAAGACACCATTCTCAGAAACCATATTCAGAACCATGGCACTGGTGGCAACTGGATTGCCTTGCCTCACAAAGCAGGTCTCTCTCTCTCTCTATCTATCTATCTACATATATATATATATATATATATATATATAATCTATATGAACTCAAGATTCAATCAATGCTCCAAAGAATCATCTATTTTCTTTCTTTCTGATTTCCCTTTTGTTCACAAAATGGTGGTCAAACAATCGAACAAAATGTTTCCTTGCTTTGTTCTTGATGAAGATGTTTGGGTCCCATTTACATATTCTAGTCTTGATCGATGCTTATATATATATATATATATATATATATATATATATATGTTACTTACCAACCCTAATGATCTGTCTTGGTGAATGTATCAAGAACCTCGAGATATATATATATATATATATATATATATGTATATATGTTACTTACCAATTCCCTAATGATCTGTCTTGGTAAATGTCTCAAGAACATCATTTTTGTGAATAAATTTGTTTTGATTTGATGTGTTAATTAGGGTTAAAACGATGTGGGAAAAGTTGTCGACTCAGATGGTTGAATTATTTAAGACCAGATATAAAACTTGGAGGTTTTACTGAAGAAGAAGATGATATTATATCATCTCTCTATGTCAATATCGGAAGCAGGCAAGTTTATATCATACGCTTTATGTAGGGTTGATGAATCTTTTTTTGTGAGACTATAGTTTTGTACTTGAAACTTTATAGTAAAACACTCTAAAAGAAAAAAAATCTGAACCATTATAGCAAAAACACTATAAAGGTTTTTTTCACATGAGTGTTTTATTGTGAAGTTTCAAGTGTAAAAAAATGGTCTCACGGATCTCACGAAAACAGTTTGGTATCACATGATCCAAGTATATACATACACATAAGAAAGGATATAACAAGAACATATTCATTTTACAAAAAAGACGACAACACCTTTTTACTATAGGTTATCATATATGATATATATGTGATATTAAATTGTCGATGCGGACGACCTTTGACGCGACCTAGGTTGCGGGACGACTAGGTTGCGACAAAGGTCGTCCGTACTCTAAGCTCCCTCACATGTATTGTCACATGTGATAAGAGTGTTTTTGATGTGATACTTTAATCTATCACATATGATGCGCGTTTGATACTAAATTAATGAATGAAATGACCTTTGGAGTGACTTAGGTCGCGGGCCAAGTCTTCTGCAACCACCAGGTGCCGTCACATTTATTATTACATGTGACAAGAGTGTTTTCACGTTTTCGTAAAATAGAGGTGTTCTCCACACACACACACACACACACATATATATATATATATATATTTGAATTAAGTGATTTTTGAGTTTTCGGTTGCAAATTTAAGAGCAAATTGCATGAAAAAGTAACGTACTTTAACTTGATTCTATTCTAAGTAACGTACTTTTAAAATTTACATTTTGATACCTAAGATGTAAAATTTTAAATATTTAAGTACCCGGGTAATAGGTTGAAACATTAACTGTTTATCATGCTGATGTTGTGAGTAATACTCAATATTATTTGCTGACGTGGTTAGTGACATGAATTTTATTAATCTAAAATTAGTCTTCAACCGGTTACATGAGTACTTAACTGTTTAAAAATTTACATCTTAGGTACTAAAATAAAAGTTTTCAACCCAAAATAAAAATTAAGTTAACTTACGTTATTTTTTCATGCAATTTAACTAAATTTAATATTGTTATACTTAAAGTGTATGTCTATGTCAAACATTGGATGCAGACCGGTTCAAATTAACATACACTTTATACTTGAATTAAATGACTTTTCAAAGTATTATATTTTTATTTTCCTTGCAAATTAAATACAAAGCATGAATTTTGACAAATTTGAAAAATGCATAAAATGTAGAAAAAGCAAAACCTTATAGAATCGTATTCGTACGTTGCAGCGTAATCCGATGTCGATTTTGAAGTTGATAACTCGAATCTTGATCAATTATGCTTCACGTTTCGTTGTATTTTTCGTCCATCTGGATTTTTTTGAAGTATATAATATTTATATACGGCAGATAGAACAAATAAACTCACACACCCTGCTCACATTTGGTGGGGTTTGAACCCTTGACCTCCTACGAGACTAAGCTCTCACATACTGCTAGGCCAAAGGCCCTTTGGTTCTATCTCGATTTTGTTTTTATGGTTTTAGGTGGTACTGAATGAGCGAGAGAGTTATCGAGTGACTATCAATTTTGTAAGGTATTACGTCGTGGGGGTCTTCTTTTGAGAACTCTATACTTTGTGAGATCTTTGAGAATCAGTGCATTATATGTTATTTCATATGATTTTTTTTTCATTTATGGCTGTAATTTCATGTAATGATTAAGGGGTTGTTTGTTTACCTCATAATAGTTTCATTAACAGGTAACCTCTGGATCATTAAGAGGTGAATCTTGTTTGGCAAAATAAAAGTCTGTCTCTTAATGATTTTAAAACCCTCTGAATGAATTTGTATCTTGAATCTCTCTTAACCATTAAGATCCTTAATTTCATTGTACACAATTACCAAACAATTATATTTCATTTTGCACTATATCATGAGAGCCTCTTAATCATTCTGCACCAAACCAACAATTGGCAAACAACCCCTAACCTATACTTGTCTCATTATGTGTCTGTTTTACATGTACTCGGTTATAATGTGAAACTTTTTGGCATGTTTGTGAAACTATTAAATACACGTAAAAAAGTTTTACATTGTGAACTGAATACATATGGAACAAATACATTGTGAAACAAATATATGTTAATCAATACATTAAATACTATACTTAAATGAAAATTAATTGTTATATATTTGCAGTAATAAACTATATAAGATCCTTGATAAGTTATTTTTATGAGTTTTTGCTAAATATTTTAAAGTAATTATTGATGAATATGTTGATTAAATTTTCAGGTGGTCTGTGATAGCATCCCATTTACGGGGAAGAACAGATAACGACGTCAAGAATCACTGGAACACCAAGTTGAAGAAGAAATTGTCGTCATCGTATAACTCGACCACCACCACCACCACCACCACTGCAACGATGACCACCTCCATCAACCTAATGCGGTGTAGCGATCCGACAACATTGCTACCCAAACAAGAAGCCGACTACTATCAAACGATACCTAAGCCCATCTTTGATGATTCCATGAACGTGGCGGATTATCAACAACCGATGATGATATCAAATTCAAACGATGCCAATTTCAACGACAATGTATCGTCTTTTCAAGAGAATCAGGGTTCGTCCCCAAATGCATTTCTGATGGGAAACAATTATGCATCTTGGCGTGACAATGGGGATGGAATGACGAACTCCGATGGTGATTTTCTACTCGAAGATTTTGATTTCCGGCAAGTGATCAGTGAAGTCGCTAACTTTAATCATTCATCGCAATGGTTCTGAAGTTCAGGGGAAAATGCTAACAAAATCTATTGCTACGCAATTAAATCTGTTGTTGAAGTTGTTAGGAACGGGTTTAACAACAGACGTTGATCGTCACTAATTAATGATTGATTCATCTACTAGACCTTTTCTAATTTTATTTTTAGGTAATTAATTATATTAAGGTTTGATAATATATATTATATATGTATGTATTTATTTGCTATATATATACGTGAAATTAATAATTGCATGATTTAATTTCTAGAATATATGCAAATGAAATTGAAAACCCTTATTTTTTTTAAAGAAATATATTATTTATTTACAAATTAATTAAATTGTTATATATATATATATATATATATATATACACACACACACATAGACACACATACGTATAAGGTTGGGTTCACGTGATATCAACTCGTTTTCGTAAGACTCGTAAAACCATTTTTTTACACTTGAAACTTCACAGCAAAACGCTGTGAAGGTAACCTTTTTTTATCTTTACAGTGTTTTGCTGTGAAATTTCAAGTGTAAAAAAATGGTTTCATGGATCTCACGAGAACATGTTGGTCTCACGTGAACCCAACTCTATATATATGTGTATATATATATATATGTGTGTGTGTGTGTGTAAATACACCTGATCGAAGAGCCAAGAAACCATCAAAGGTATGTGTTTAAACCATACTATCATTGATCTTCTTCGAAGATCGATATAAACTACCACAAAAAAGTCATCACATAGAAAACTTACGACCGAAAATCCATTTTATCTAACGTTAATTTGGAACCACGTGTATTCAACTCACCTTTTATTAAGATCGTGTAGTTATTTTTAATTATAAATATAATTAAATTCGAAACTTTTTGTTTCATAAAATGATAAATAATCTAACATGGTCTAGTTCATTTGTGAATCGTAAATATTTTAAGAACCGATAAACCAAATATTTCATATTAATATACATGAATACACACACACACACACACACACACACATATATATATATATATAGAGAGAGAGAGAGAGAGAAGTTTAATTGTAAACTGATTTTCAATTGTGAAACAGGGGACAAAGGTGAGCACGACACCTGTTTCCAGCGTCCACGTTTAGTATGAATAATGAAGGACATTTAGTATGAATAACGAAGATGAACGTTCATGAACTATTCATGATTAATAATACACGATCATGATTCATATTAAATTGATTCACTATTTATGATGAATAATACACATTTATCATAAATGATACATTATTCAGGATGACTAACCCATGAAGGTGTGAGACACGTCTCTCTTTTGTCCCCCGGTTCACAACTGAAAACCGGTTTTCATTTGAATCCGTCCATATATATATATATGCCTAATCAAATAAAAACTAATTAGTTTGTGGTAACCGTGATGTTAAATCTCAACCACAAATCAATAGATAAATTACTAAACTTATAAATTTTCTAATTTATCTATTGATTTATGGTTGAGATTGAATCTCACGGTTACACAAACTAGTCAGTTCTCATTTAAATGGATCCCTATGTATGTATGTATGTATATATATATATATATATATGAGCGATCAAATGAAAACCACTCCAATTTGTAAAAACCGTAAAAACTACTCTCATTCGTCGATTTCATTGTTTAATCTTATGAAAATTTTTCATGAAATTGTTTAATCTTGTGAAATTGTTTCATATAATACTTTTTTTTATGAAGTTGTTTCATATATGGTTATGAAATTGTTTCATATACTACTTAATGAAACTCTTTCATGTATTTCTCTAAAATTAATGAAACTGTTTCATGTTTTTCTCTAAAATTAAAATAATGAAGATAATAATATCCATGATTAACATCATCCACAATAAAAATGATTAATTAACCTCTCATAATTACAAAAAAATGAACAAAATGAAAAATTATGATTAGTTGAATGAAGTTTGTACGGTTTGTACAAATTAGGTGGTTTTTATTTGAACGCTCCCCTATATATATATATATATATATATATAT